CTGGGAGAGAGACTGAGCATTCTTCCTGAACTTGAGTTGTAGCCTGGTGCTTCCCTAATAAACCCCATAATCCGTGAGTTCTGTGTGGCCACTGCAGCGAATTATCAAACCCAGGAGAGAGGTGGTGGGTACTTTGGGAGGAGCAGTTGGAAAAAGGGCTGGAGGAAGGCAGCATGTCTGGCCTGGCAGGAATAGGCCTGGGGTTACTGCTGGTAATCCTGTCTTTCTCTTGTAGGATTAGAGGAGGTCAGAACATGTGGCCTCCTTGCCATTTTAGCAGTATATAATAAGTTCTAGCTATACAAAAAGAGTTAAAAATAGTAACTTATCTGTGAATGATCAAAAAATGAATTTATTCTTACTAGATTCTAAAAACCAAACACACACCATTGCTTTCCAGTCAATTCTGACTCATAGTGGCACTACAGGACAGAGTAGAGCTGCCCCATAGGGTTTCCAAGGCTGTCATCTTCACAGAAACAGACTGCCACATCCATCTCTCAGGGTGGCTGGTGGGTTTGAACTGTCGACCTTTTGGTTAGCATCTGAGGATTTAACCACTGCACCATCAGTGCCTCTTATTAGATTGGATTTTGAAATTACACAAAACTTAGCCCTTAAACATTCTAACAAACTCAACTTAGGTGAAAATAACAAACATAACAGAGACAGTATGAACAGGGAGGTGGCCAAGAGGGCCCCTGTTCCTCCATGTGGTGCTCAGAGGTGCCCAGACACTTGATTATACACTCACAGCCAGCTAACAAGTACAGGACTGGGCAGAATTTCATTCTGTTACATGTAAGGTCATCAAGAGTCAACAGCAACCAACAAGAACAACAAATGATAGAGTCAGGACCAGAACCTACGTCTTCAAACTCACTGCTCCTCTGTACCCGCCAAAAGTGTCTGCAAGTGGAACTTTAAGAAGCCTAATTTAAAGAGCCTCACCACACCACGTGCGTGTGCAAAGATTTTCTTACCTCTCCTGTGGTTCCCATCTCCTCAGAACAGTGTCTGTTTGGGGCACTTAAAGCTGGGCCGGCCTTCAAACCAGTTCAGTCCAGTTTGACCCCTGCTGAGCAGTGGCTTTTCCAGCCCAAATACACTGAATCAGAATCACATTTTAACAAGAGCCCAGGAGATTCTGATGCACACATGGGGATCACAGGGATCGACAACAATCGCGAGCTCTGGGTGTCCATTCTCATTCAGTGTATCTGGGCCGGAAAGGTCAGTTCTCACAGGGGCTCGAACTGGAATGAACCGTTTGAAAGCCCTGCTTAAAGCAAAGACTCCCACATACAGTGGCCATGCACCAGGGTGGCCCTGGGACACTCACCTGGGCCTGTGCGTGCTCCCCTGGAGATGAGGGCGGCAGGGGCGTCCGGAGGTCCTGGACACACTTCTCTATGAGGGCAGAATCTGCAATACTTTAAGGGCAGAAAAGAAAACCGATCAGACAATGAGAATGCTTATGAAAGACTGATAAACCTGAACTTGAAGTTTGAAGTCAACTTTGAATAGAATTCCACAGATTTTTTAAAAAATAAAGACAATATTTATAAAAAGATATTCTACAAAATTTCAGAAAACTGATAAAGTTCTTATCAGATAAATATGAGAAGCAGAGTTTTAAAAAGATGAATACCTATTGAAGCCACATTGTTGTTGTGGTTATGTGCCATCAAGTCGGACCCTACTCATACTGACCCTCCTTCGGTTTCCGAGGCAGTATCACTACAGAAGTAGATTGCCCAACCTTCCTTCCAAGGAGTGGCTGCTGGGTTTGAACCGCCAGCCTTCTGGTTAGCAGTCAAGTGACCTAGGCACTACGTAACCAGAGCACCCACATTTAGAAGAAGAATAAAATATAGTACAGTCTTTTCAGAAGAAAAGTAACTAAGATTGAAGTGTTTGTGGTTACTTTCCCATTTAAAGAGCACAGAAACTGGCCAGAAAACAAGTTTCGGTTTGTTGTCATTGTCATTGTTGACTGCTGTCAAGTTGCTGCCGACTCATAGCAACTCCACGTACGACAGAAAGAAACGCTGCCCGGTCCTGTGCACCCTCATAACCTGCTGTGTTGGAGCCCACTGCTGCAGCCACTGTGTCAAACCGTCTCACGGAGGGTCCTCCTCTTTTTTGCTGACCCTCTACCCTTTCTCCAGGGTCTAGTGCTCCTGAAAACATGTCCAAAACGTGAAAGACAATTCTCCCCACACTCACTTTGAAGAAGGTTTCCAGATGTACTTCTTCCAGGACAGGTTTCTTCAGTCTACTGGTGGTCCACAGTATATTCAGTATTCTTCACCACCATCGAAACTTAAACAGCATCAATTATTCTATGATCTCCCTTATTCTTTGTCCAGTTTTCATATGTATATGAGGCAACTGAAAATACCATGGCTTGGGTCAGGTGCACCTGTCCTCAAAGAGACATCTTTACTTTCTAACTTTTAAAGAGGTCTTTTGTAGCATATTTGCCCAGTGCAATATGCCATTTCATTTCTTGACTGCTGCTTCCTTGGATGTTGATAGTGGAAATGAAATCCTTGACAACTTCAATCTTTTCTCCACTTATTACAATGTTGCTTATTGGCCCAGTTATGAGGATTTTTGTTTTCTTTATGCTGAGGTGCAATCTATACTGAAGGCTGTCATCTCTGATCTTCATCAGTAAATGCTTTGGGTCTTCTTTGCTTTCAGCAAACAGGTTGTGTCATCTGCACCAGGCAGGTGTTAAACAGTCTTCCTCCAATCCTGATACCAAGCTCTACCTCATATACTCCAGCTTCTCTGATTATTTGCTCAGCATATACATTAAGTAAGTATAGGGAAAGGATACAACTGTGACGCACACCTTTCCTGATTTTAAACCATGCAGTATACCCTTGTTTTGTATGAACGAATGCCTCTGTGTCTATGTACAGCTTCGTCATGAGCACATTTTTCCTAGAATTCCCATTCTTCCCAGTGTTATCCATAATCTGTTAAATTCTGTTGTGTAGTTAATAAAACAGAAGTAAACATCATTCTGGTATTCTCTGTTTTTAGCCAAGATCTAGCTGACATCAGCAATGATATCTTCTGTCCCATGTCCAAGCTCCAAATTGAAAGTGAAGATAAAGAAAGAAAACCAACAAGGAAGAAACATTTTTCTCAGGTCAGAAGAGAAATGGTCATGGTGCTACGGCAGCCTTTGCAATAAAAGACCCGCGAATCCCCGTAGGCCTCTGATGGCACAGCAGACTCAGCTGACTCCCGAGAAGCCGTGTTCCGAAAGCTGCACCGTGTCCACTCTGGAGCCAGGAAGCACCCAGCTTGTAAAAGCAGCTAACAGCTTCCTTTCCCAAGTCTGAGAGACACCACAGTAGAACGGAAGATGACAAATAAATACAAAAAGGACAGCCAATGCACAGCTCGCTGCATGCCATAAATGGTGACATGAAGGAGTGAGCACAGCGGAGGGCAGTGGGATGAGCAATGCCTCCTTCCTGTTGGTTTCCTTCACATTCAGAAAGACCAGAAAGCACTTTGGCACAGGCTCTCCAGACAGTGAATGTTCAAAGGCAGAGCTCAAGGAGCAGAGGAAAGCAAATGAACACACGGATTGAAGGAGGTGGGGATGCTTAGTGAAGGGGTCTGGGCGCTGCAGTGTCAAGCACTTGGCTGCTAACCAAGAGTTCAGCGGTTCGAACTCACCAGCTGCTCTGCAGGGGAAAGATGTGGCCATCTGCTTTGGTAAAGATTTACAGTCTTAGTAACCCTAATGGCCAGCTCTACTCAGTGCTCAAGGGGTGCTAGGAGCCCCAATCATCTCAATGACAATGGTTTGGTTTGGGGTTTTATGGTTGTCTAGAGACTGTGACTGGGCAGGAGCGCTGGTAGCGTAGTGCCTAAAGCACTTGACTGCTAACCAGAAGGCTGGCGGTTCAAACCCACCAGCCACTCCTCGGAAGGAAGATGGGGCAATCTACTTCCGTAGTTTCACTGCCTCGGAAACCCAAGGAGGTGTTGCTGTGGGTCGGGTCCAACTCGACGGCACATAACAACAACAACAGAGACTGGGCAATCTACTTCCTTAGAGATATTGCCTCGGAAACCCAAGGAGCGGTCACTAGAGTGGGGTCCGACTCGACGGCACATAACAACAACAATAACAGAGACTGGGTAATCTACTTCCATGCAGATACTACCTCAGAAACCCAAGGAGCAGCTCTACTGTCCTCTAGAGGCGCTGTGAGCCAAAACTAACTCAGTGGCAATGGGTGGTATAGCTCCAAGTTGAGGAGCTCTGGTGGCACAGTGGTTAAAGCATTTGACTGTTAACAGAAAAGATGGCAGAATGAACCCACCAGTCACTCTATGGGAGAAAGATAAGGCACTCTGCTTCTCTAAAGATTTACAGTCTTGGAAATCGTATGGGGCCTTTCTACTCTTTCCTCTAGGGTCACTATGAGTAGGAATCAACTCGATGGCAGTAGGTTCGGTTTTTTGAGGTTCAGAGTAAACCGGACTACTGAAAAAGAGAATTAACATTGAGTGGCATATTGCCTAAGGCATGTGACTGCTAACCAGAAGGCTGGCTGTTCAAACCCACCAGCCACTCCTCAGAAGGAAGACTGGGCAATCTACTTCTGTAGAGATACTGCCTCAGAAACCCAAGGAGGGAGTTGGAATTGACTTGACAGCAATGAGTCTGGTTTTGGTTTTATAGATAAAGGAAAGAGCTCTGGTGGCACAGTGGTTAAAGCATTTGGCTGTGAACCAAAAAGTCAGTGGTTTAAACTCACCAGCTACTCCACAGGAGAAAGATGAGGCAGTCCACTGTCATAAAGATTTACACCCTTAGGGACCCGATAGTGCGATTCTGCTCTGACCTACAGGGTCAGCATGAGTCAGAACAGGGTCAGCATGACTTGCTAGCAGTGGGTTTTGTATTTAGGGATAAGGGGGTTCTTAAAACCATCACTTTAATCCTCATAACAACCGCATCTAATAAGTGGTGTAACAGAGAGATTGAAGTAATTTTCCAAGGCCACACAGCTACTGAGTAAACGAACTATACTTATACTTAGGTCAATATAAACTCAACATTTAGGCCTTTTCTACTCTTATCATATAACCAATAAAATTATCAGAAATAATTTTATCAGATACTATTAATATTAGATATATGAGTAGCAAAATTTCAAAGGACCAAATTGATTTCCCTAAATTTTATCAAAATATTTTCTGACAAAAAGTTTAGTGTTCCATAACAAATTAACTCCAAATAACTTAACTTAAACAATAGGGTTTCAGCCAGAGACATTATTCTGAAAGGACCACTAGAGAGCTGAATCTACAAATCCTTCATATCCATTAAAAATAACAGAATTAAGCAAGGTTGCAGGATACAAGATCAATACACAAAAGTTAATTGTATCATAAAGCCTGCAAAACCCACTTTGATGGGTGAAAACCTATCAAAGAAGGAAAACTAAGAAATCTCCCTTAACCAGGAACAACGAGAAAGTGCTAAGACTGACCCTGTCAAAGGCAGAAAACTTGCAAGACCCAGAAAAATAAGGCAGTCCTTGTTCTGGCTCTCACTGAGTAAACACTCGATGCACTTGCAGCAAGATAACCAAAATCAGAGAAAACAATTCCATTCACAGCAGCATAAAAAATAACACTCAAAAATAAACTTAAGAAGTGTAAAATGTACACACTAAAAACTATAAAACATTGATTTAAAAAAAAAAGGATGATCTAAATAAATGGAAAAGCATCCCATGTTCATGGATTGGATGGCTTACAATCTTTAAGACGGCAATACTCCCAGAATTGAGCTACAGATTCAACACAATCCCTATCAGAGTCCCAGCTGACTTCTTTGTAGAAACTGACAAGCTGATCCTAAAATTCATATGGAATTACAAGGGGGCCAGAATAGCAAAGACCATCTGAGAAAGAATAAAGTAGGGAGACTCATGCGTTCTGATTTCAAAACCTGCTATAAAGCAACGGCAATCAGACAGTGTGGTTCCAGCACAAAGACAGACACCTAACTCTATGAAATAGCACTGGGAGTCCAGAAATAAACCCATACATCCACAGCCAACTGACTTCCAACAAGGGTGCCAAGATCATTCACCGGGAAAGTCTTTAAGAAATGGTGGTGTGGCAACTGGCTCTCCACAAACAAATGACTGAAGTTGAACCTTTACTTCATGCCACATGAAAAAGCTACCTCAAAACGAAACAAAGATCTAAACGTAAAAGGTAAAACTATAAAACTCAGTAACAAAAATAAAAATAACCCAAGTTAAAAATGGGTGAAGATCTGAATGGATCCTAAGAAAGATACACAAATGACAAACAAGCGCAGGAAAGGTGCTCACCATCAGGAGTCATCAGGTAAATGCCAATCAAACCCAGCAGGAGAAACCGCGTCATCTTGGTCAAGAAGGCCAGAGTCAAAAGAAGTTAACGAGCACAGCTGGAGAGCCAGAGCCCTTCACACATTGCTGCTGGGAATGGAAAGCAGGGCACCTGCTCCGGAAAACACTCTGGTAGTTAGTCCCCACATAATCAAACCTAGAGTTACCACAAAAAACCACTGCCATCAAGTCAATTCCAACTCACAGCGACCATACAGGACAGAGTAGAACAACCCTACAGGGTTGCCAGTGCGTAAATCTTTACGGAAGCAGAACAGCACATTTTTCTCCCATGAACGGCCAAAGGATTCAAACCACTGACCTTTTTGTTTTGCAGCTGAGCACTCTAATCACTGCATCATAAGGGCTCACTTAGAGTTACCATATGATCCAAGTATATACCCAAGAAAAATGAAAGCATAAGTCTATACTTAATTCACAAAAGCTTATAGCAGGATTACTTATAATAACCAAAAGGTGGGAACAACCTAAAAGTCCATCAACAAATGAAAGGATAAACAAAATGTGGTATATCCTTACACTGGAATTCAGCTATATTCAGTATACTCAGCAACAAAGAGAAATTAAGTCCTGCTAAGATGCTACAATATTAACAAACCCTGAATGCATTATGCTAAGTGAGGAAGTCAGTCACAAAAGACCATATATATTATGATTGTGTAATTATGAAGTCCAAAAAGGGAAATCTAGCAAGATTGTAGACTAGTAGTTGCTTAGGATGCTGGGGGAACAAAGGGAAAAGGAGTCATGACTAAAAAGTATGGAGTTTCTTTTTGGGGTAATAAAAATATTCCCAAACTGACTGTGGTAATGGCTACACACATCTGTGATTACACTAAAAATGAATGGTATGGCATGTGAATTATGTCTCAAGAAAGCTGTGAAAAAGGGAGAAAGAAAAAGAACAACTGAGGGTCTACATCAAAGTCCTTGAGTACTGCAGGAGAAATCAGCTTTAAAACCACTGAACTGTATAAAAAATCAAGAGTTCTGTTTCCTGCCTTAATAGTAAATATAACGAGCTGACACAAGACTCTTAACCTAAAATAAAAACCCTCAAGTCGTTACGACAAAAGCCAAAGCCTGGAGTCTAACGGGCCTGCCGAGGGAGACCGATGGACCCCTGGCACACAGGGAGTCCTCCCTCCGTCGAGTCATGAATCGACTTGTGCAGACTGCTCTGTCCTCCCAGGCTTCTCAGGGGGCTTCTCTTACCCACAGAGACGCTCGAGAAGGTGGGCCTGTCGAAGGGCACCTGCAGTGTCTCCTGGAGCAATGGCCAGGAGGTTATCTAAGAGGCTGCACGTGGCCGAGAGGAGGGAGGGCGTGGCCCAGACACAGTGCTTCGGCAGAAGGGCAGGAAAGGACGAGTCGCGAGGAGGCCGTGCCGACGTGGTCTCACGCTGACCTACTGGTGAGAAAAAGCATTAACACTGTTTCCATGTCTTTCCTAAGTTCTTAGGGAGAAGTGCCTAAAAACGCCAGAGAGACGGCTGGGCACTTTCCCTAGCTGTTCAGTTTGCCTTGACCCTGCGGTCAGGGGGTTCCACTCCTCCTCCTGTTTCTTGCCTCTACTGTGTGTGTGTGTACACGCATGCATGTGTGTGCACGTGCACGCGCATGTCTGTCCTGGGTGGGAGCAGAAGAGCCGGCACAGGAAGGGGAGACATCCCCTGTGCCCTAAGCGTTCAAACAAGGAGGGACAACTCCACAGTGCAAACCCTTCTCTGAAACCACAGCAGCCTGAAGGGTTTCAGAACCCAAACAATTTTTGGATTTTGGAAGAATGGTAAGGGACATATGCCATATGTTAATTAACAGCCCAAAGGGATCGTGGGCAACAGCACACAAGGAAATAAACGCTGTGTAGTGAGCAGCACATGAATACAGCCAGCAGGGCCAAGGAGAGGCCAAATCCACCCTCAGCGCAGCGCTGCTCAGGTTTTGCAGCCACACATATTCAGGGAGGGGCAACTCTGCTTCCGAGTGAGTTTTGAGAAAACTTTCCCTTTCGAAGACATCTCAATTCTAGAATGCAACATATGGGATGTGGACTTCTGGCCAGCTCAGCAGGGGACTAGTAACTAGAAGGCAATGCCCTAAGACCTCCATGAAGACCCTCACTCCTTACTTCTATTTTAAAGAAAACTTGTATTTTAAATAAATTCAGACGTGCAGAGACTTTACACAAGCAGAAAGAATTACCAGACACCTGCACTCAGATCCCCTAGAGATTAACATGTCTCCACGTTTGATCTACTGCCCACTGACTTACATCTCTTTTTCTGAACTGCTCGTAAATTGCAGATATAATGCCCCTTGCACCTTAAATGATTTTTCTAAAAATACGAACTTTCTCTTTCATAAACATAGTACAATTATCAACATCAGAAAATCAATGTTGATGCAGGAGTATTAGCTAATCGACAGGGTTTTGCAAAAAATAAATAAATAAATTTGCATATCAGTACATCTGTTGGCTTTGAAACGGAAGCACTGTTGGAGACAGTCCAGCTTGTCCAGAGCCTCTTCATTTGCAAGGAGTACTGTGGTCACTGCCAGTGTTCTCCCAAAAGAAGGGGAAAATCAAACTAGCTAATACCCATCAGCTCCCAGATTCCTGATTTAAACTCTGAGCATCCGTGTCTAGCTCCCAGGAAACCACATGAGAGTTGGGTTGTTTATGTGGCGCCCAAATTCCCATTTATTAGGTTCAGACTGTTAGTCTGCTTGAATTTCTGATAATACCGATTCTAATCGTGTACTGTGACTCATTTCATAAACATCTGTCCTGATCAGGACACAATCACAACGCATTTGCCTGGACCAACATGAAAATAAAAAGTTTTGTTGAAAATACAAAGTTTTCCTACAACAGTACCTGGAGACGCAACCTGGTCACGGGGGGCTTCGGGCAGAAGTACTCCTGATGGCACAGATGGCTGGAATTCGGCCCCGACAGAGGGTGGCACCTAGGAGTCAGGAAAGAAGTGACTTTACCCTCCACGCCACACCATCAAACCAGAGATGGGCAGGAAGGCCTGTAACGCATTCCTTAGGATAACGCAGAAACTTTCCATCTTCGGTTCTGAAAAGAGTGTGAACGCCTTCCTGTGTGGTCTGCTACAATTGACAGAGGTCAGTGACGCACAGGAAAAGTCTTTTGGCTGGAAGACCATTTAGGATTTTAAGGTTCTGTTAAGCCCTACTGCCTCTTACTGCCCAAAAAGCCAGGGAACCCTGCTTTAACTACAATTCACTGTGTCTTGAGGTATTCTGCATTTCTTGAATGATGTAAAAGGGTTTTTTTTTTTAATGTTTCAAATAGTGCACACAAATTTTAATAGTGCCTATAAAAAGGTACTGATGCATTATACAACAAGAACTCTTAAAAAAAAAAATAAAATAAGCACTATGTTCACAATGTATTTCAGAGTACATTTTTTCAAGCATGAGCTAGAACAGAAATTCTGTCAAAAGTGAACCCAATTTCACATCCAGGTTTAGAGATGGGCTGACAGTGTGGCCTCCAGAAACTGAAAGGCCCAGGAGATGCGCCTGGTGCCTCCCATTTGAAAAAGACCTCATCTGGAGTGGCCCGGTAACCCTTGCTCTTGCAGTCGACCCATGTTAACTGAGAGGGCGTGCATCTCCCTTCCTGAGTGGCCTGCACTCACAGAGCCAAATAATCAACGTAACTCACCAATGACCGGATGCTCTCTCTGTAGCTCATGGTACGTGAATGTTTACTGTGCAGGTATCAGAGTGCGCAAAGCAGCGTACACTGCACTTAGGATTAAAAATGAAGGCAAAAATCAAGCTATTTGCATTTGCAGTTTCTAATGATAAAAGAAAATTAACTGGAAGAAACTGGGAAGAATGAAATACTTTAAATCCTTTCAACTTCACACTTGTAGATTCTCTCTCACCTCTTCAAGTCAAACTAAGTTATAGCAACAAGAAACAGGAGACATAGCTGTAGCAAAGAGAAGTAACCCTGGGTAAATTTCAGTCTAAACGAAGCATTCATAAATATGTATACAATAAATGTCTTATTTTATATAATGTTAGATCAAAATAATAGGAAAAAAATAACCTAGAATTCGTTTGGTTTTAAAAATAGGTGTGCCTATGAATGGCTTTGGAATACAAGTTTTAAAAAGGTCCTGTTAATAGGTATCAAAATAATTGTTATAAGTCCTTGAAGTAGACACTCATACACCAACACTGATAGCACAAACTATAATATATCTGGCTCCTGCCCCAAATTTCTTTGGTTTTATATGAAAAATTAATGTGATAATAATGCTGGAATTCTTTATTTTTTTCACTGAACATTTCTTCAACTGACAAAGACTCAAGAGGCTACTGCTGACAAAAATACTTGTTTCCATATGTCCAGAATCATGCCAGAAACCTCCTAAGAGAGATTTTCACATTACACAGCCAGGGTGCTTCTTCACAAGAACACACAGCAAATGCTGAAGGCTCTACTGCGCCCAGCTACTCAGAACCAGAGTGGGTATCTCCTAAATGTTTCAGGGTGAGAGGCAAGAGAACCTAGGGCAACTCAAGCAAGTTCCTTAGTTTTAACTCAAACACGTTCTTGGAAGCCTTAATCTCTCTGCTTAACTTTGGCTTGTAATTAGCACTTGCCCTGGTAGCATAGTGCCTAAGGCACTTGACTGCTAACCAGAAGGCTGGCGGTTCAAACCCACTAGCCACTCCTTGGAAGGAAGGTTGGGCAATCCTACTTCCGTAGTAATACTGCCTCGGAAACCCAAGGAGGGGTCACTATGAGTCGGGGCCGACTCGACGGCACATAACAACTATTCAGAAAAGGGCACGGGATAAGGGATATCACTGGGATGGCAGACAGATCTCGAGTGAAAGCAAAGAATACCAGAAAGATGTTTACCTGTGTTTTATCAACTATCCAAAGGCATTCATCAGTGTGGATCATAACAAGTTATGGATAACAATGCAAGGAACAGGAATTCCAGAACACTTAATGGTGCTCACGAGGAACCTGTACATAGATCAAGAGGCGGTCTTCATACAGGACAAGGGGACACTGCGTGGTTGGAAATCAGGAAAGGTGTGCATCAAGGCTGTATCCTTACACAATATTTATTCAATCTGTACGCCACACAAGTAATCCGAGAAGCTGGACTGTAAGGAGAAGAATGCGGCATCAGGATTGAAGGAAAACTCATTAACAACCTGTCTAATGCAGGTGACATAACACTGCTCGCTGAAAGTGAAGAGGATTTGAAGCACTTATCAATGAAGATCAAAGCCTATAGCCTTTAGAATGAATTACACCTTAACATTAAATACAACAAAAATTCTCACAACTGGACCAATAAGCAATGTCAAAATAACTGGAGAAAGGATTGACGTTGTCAGGCATTTTATTTTACTTGGATCCACAATCAACACCAATGGAAGCAGCAGTCAAGAAATCAGATGACATACTACACTGGGCAAATGTGCTGCAAAAGACCTAAGGCATTTGACTGCTAACCAGAAAGCTGGCGGTTCAAACCCACCAGCCACTCCTCGGAAGGAAGGTTGGGCAATCTGTTTCCGTAGTGATACCACCTCAGAAACCCAAAGAGGGCTCACCATGAGTCGGGTCCTACTCGACAGCACATAACAACAACAACTCTATGATCAACGATGTCACTTGGAAGACAAGGTGCACCTGACCAAGCCACAGTATTTTCAATCACCTCATATGCATGTGAAAGCTGGACAATGAATAGGGAAGACCTCAGAAGAACTGATGCCTTGAATTGTGGCGCTGGCAAAGAATACTGAAAACGCCATGGACCGCCAGAAGAATGAACAAATCCATCCTGGAAGAAGCAAGCTGGAATGCTCCTTAGAAGCAAGAACGGCCAGTGTTCACCTCATCTACTTTGGTCATGTGGGTCGGAAGGGACCACTCCGTGGAGAAGGATGCCATGTCTGGTAAAGCAGAAGGACAGTGGAAAAGGGGGCAGACCCTCAATGAGACGGACTGACCCAGTGGCTGCAACGAGGGGCTCAGGCACAGCAAGGATGTGAGGGGGGTGCAGGACCAGGGGGGTTTCATGTGTCGGACACAAGGTCGCCATGAGGTGGAGCCAATCCTGTAACTTCTAACAACAATTATTCGTTAAAACGGCCATAACGACAAGGAATAAAAGCACAATCTCGACTTTTCCCTCACTTTCATACTGTCACATGACATATCCCAACATCTTCAACTTATGTTCTTTTGACAAATAAAATGGAGTTCTCATTCAAGCAAGCACAGCTCTTCCGTATCTAGCCGTATCACCTTAAGGATATTATAGAAGGCAATAAAACTTCTTAGTGAGGATACATTAATGCCACTTAAAGCCACTATCTAAAAACAGACTTCAAGTTGCTTTTATAAAAGATGAAAAACAGAATAACCTTTTCTCCAATGTATTTATAAGCCTATTCAATAAACTAAAGAGCTTCCTAAGTCATGCTCCTTTGTACAAGAAGTGACTTAACAGTCTCTTGAATAGCAAAAAATAAGTCATTTACCTTATCAAATTCAAACTGGAATTTAAAAAAACAGACAATTTTTGCCATATAAACAAAATGCATAAATGTTCAAAAACGATATTCTCTGTATTCAGCCTTATAGAAACAAAAGACTTCATTGGATCTCTTAATGTTTTGAAAAGTATTTTATTTTTCAAAAAGATTTTATAATACTTCCCATTCTCTCTCATCAAAAGCAGTGTGACTGTCTAAATATTTTTTAAAATATAAAAGAGGACAAAGGAAGAAAATGAGAATTAGTAGTACGAAAAAGGCTACAAAGCTGCACATACTTTAAAAACATGACAAATGTAAGGTATACAAAGTTTCTAGGGATTCTGTGCTCATGTGTTCATTTTTATAAATAACACCTTTCTCTACAGGCTCAGGAATAGAAAAGTGCTGGCATGCTTCCCAGTTTGTAATCATTAATTCTAATCAAAATTATAACAGTAATTAAGAAAAATAAAATAAAATGGTAACACGAAGCTTAAGCCCTATCAACTGTTACTGATTCATGATGCAAACGGACTGTGTACATACAAAAAAAGATGAGAGAAGACACTCTGGAAGGACGCAGGGCCAGAAGACGCTCCAGGACTCATGCATATCTGTCAGAAGGCTGCCTGCCGAAAGGCAGAGGGTTAGCACCAGGACAGAACTGCGGTCTGCTCTGCTAGACGGGCATAACTGGAGAGGAACGTTTGCCCGAGCTCAGCCTTCTCTACCCTCTGTTAGCTTCCTGACCTTGGGCCCAACCCTGAAATTCTCTGAGAAGGTGTTTCTTCATTGACGAAAAGGGAACTTCCTCAAACGGTGCAGGCGTTACAACCTAATCCATTTGTAGCATTTCACAGGTAACAGCACATAGCCACTTAGTGGTGAGCTCAATTGGACCTCCCATGCTTAAGAAGTTAGCTCTCGCCACAGAGCAGTTTGGTACATCAAACAATCATGTCATCATCAAGATTAAGAAAGAATTAAACCTACTTTACTTATTGCAGCTACGGTTATGTGCTTAAGAAAATAGCTGGGAGCCTAGTTCAAAACATTTTGTCAGTTTTTTAGATGTCTGCACTTCTGATGACAGTGGCTTAGAACTATGTAATTTACCTTGAAAAAGTTCAAAACATATTGAGTACAAAATACAGGAAAAAGACAAAAAACATTGTTATTTGCTCATTCTGATAATTTTTTAAAAGACTAAATGTTTATAAAATAGTTACAGTTATGCACTAAGTAGGAATAATCTATTTCACCTGCCACTGTATTCATTCTAATGCTTCACACTAAAACCATATAAAAACTAATACCCCAGATATCAACATCTGAGGCTTATTAAGTAACAGCATTAAATTTGTACACAAAACAACAAATAAAATTTGCACTTTCCACGTGCTACAAGTCC